ATAAGAGAAGTTCATTACCCCGCGTGGCTATCTAATGTAGTTTTAGTTAAAAAGTCCAACGGCAAGTGGCGCGTCTGTATTGACTTCACGAGCCTCAACAAGGCGTGTCCGAAAGACAGTTTTCCCTTGCCTCGGATAGATCAGCTCGTCGACGCAACGGCAGGGTATGAACTCCTCTCCTTCATGGATGCCTACTCCGGGTACAATCAGGTTCGGATGCATGTGCCCGACCAAGAGCATACCGCCTTCGTTACCGACCAAGGGTTGTATTGCTACAATGTCATGTCGTTCGGTCTGAAGAATGCCAAGGCGACCTACCAGCGGATGGTCAACATGATGTTCGCCAAGCAGATCGGAGGCGAATCCTGGCTTGCCACGTGTCACGATCGAAAAGGTGGGCTGGTTAAACACGCAGGCGAAGTGAAGAAAGCGACTCCAAAATACTCAGGTCGGCAGTCAGGGTAGGACCAATAGTGCCGAGCTGAGCTGATGCAGAGTCCGTAACAGTGTCCCTTCCGTGCCCGACAGCACGCCGTGATTTCAGGGTGTGTCAGAATCCCTGCCGAGCCCAGTTTCTATAAATAGAAACCCTTGCCTTAAATGCAAGGTACGCAATCTTAAGTAGACTCGGCAAGTTAGCTCGGACTAGAACTAACTTGCTCGACGGAGTGCTAACTTTGTTTTGCAGGTCTCAGCAACTGTTCAAGGGAGATGCGGGACTATTGGCTATAGCTCGTCCTGAGCACACCGATCTAAATCGTGTCCGAGCTCAATCAATTTCGAACTCAAACAGTCTTGTTTCTCCTTATAAAAAAATGTTTCTAAAGGGTAGAAATTGGGAAAAAATATGTTTTTTTCTTGTTCATCTTTTAATGTTTTGAAAAAATCATAAATAAGAATATCATTTTATCATTTTTTTACTTATAAAATATATGATAAATTTTAAAAATAAATATAACATACAAATTTTGAATATTTAATTTAATTTATTTTTTAATTTGAAAGTTTAGCGAAAACAAAAACAAAATACTTACCAAACATCTTTTTTTAAAAAAACAAGAAATAAAAAATAATTACCAAACATAATTATTTTTTTATTTATTAAAGAACAATAAATAGAAACGATAGGGCCATAATTGGCTTTTTTTAGTGAGTAGAATTTATTTAAAATTCAATAGAAAATAAACTATTGAGATAAAGCTAACGTCTGGAAGTCAGTACTTTGTAATATTTTGTCAAAAGAAAAGGACTTTGTTCTTAATTATCTACTCTTAAGAATTAAATTTGTGCTTTAGTTAATTATCTTTTATTTTATAAATCTTATATGAATTTTAAAAACTAAAAACAATTTTTTTTTTAACTAGGGGTCGGTTTGGATGTCTTAGTTTGAATTAAAAATAGAAAATAGTATTTTAATGTAGGATACTTGTTTGATTGAATATTTTTTAAAAATATACTTCAATGTGAAAAAGAAAAAAAATTTCTAATAAATTTTGAAATTAAAAAAAAAAAACTTAAAAAAACTCATCTACTAAACAAATAATAATAATAAAAAAAAACACTCAATCAATCTAATATATATACTAAAAAAACCTCAAAAGATATTTTCTTAAAAGACAATTGAAAGGAAATTTTACTCATTGATGTAGCCAATATATTGCACATTTTTCGATTTTGCCAACCTAAATATAAGTAAGGTCTCCTTTAAAATCTCATAACCACATTTATACTCTCATATATATTAATGAGCTGAATTATAAGTTTATTCTTCAATTTTTCAAGTTTGCTTCTAATAATCTTTTAAATTTTAAATGGTGTATAATAAATCCTTAAATTTTAAAGAGTATCCAACGGGTCCTAGGTTTTTAAATTTGTGTCTAACAATTTCCTAAATTTTTTATTTTGTATTAAGTAGTCGTTGATTCATTCGAAACTCCGAATTGAAAATTTGGGGATACTTATTAGATAATTCTTCAAGTTTAGGGGCTAACATTATAATTTAACTTCACACACGACTAAATTACAGAAAATACTCCTAAACTTTGTTATATGTCTAAAAAAATATTCATATCATTTAAAAGTTTAAATACTATCCTGGACCTTTTACAAAGGTTTTAGAAATACCGTTTGAACACAAATTTGAACGAAAAATTGATAGGGTAGAATCTCAAAAACATGACTAAGTAAAGAAACGTGGACTAAGATATCCTTTTTAAAAAGGAGAAAAAGCTAAATTATTTTAGCGAAGAATAATCCAAAGAAGTTTCTGTAAATTTTAGATTTTGATGGAATGACCCGAAATGAGAAATGTTCAGTTTGTAATTAGTTTTGGATTAAAAGGTGAAGAGAGAGAGAGAGGAACCTGAAGGAAATGTGACCAAAGGAGAAATTTCCTTCGCTAACCAACTTCTGAAGATCCCTAAGCTTGGAGAAGATCTCCTTCCCCTTGGCGTAGGAGCTCCCGAAGCAAGCCCTAGAAATCACGTCCGC